AGCTTGCTGCGAAACGATAAGAAACACTCCGGGCATTTTTCAACGGGTGCGGAATTCTTTGATGAGGAGAGCAGAAGCTTGTATTACTGTTGGGGTTGGTCACTTTGAACAGTTGTTGTAATAGTTGTTTCGTTCAATTTTTATATGTTTATTTTCCCAAAAAATAACATTTACTTCTCCGAATTGTTTTTTTCACAAACTCCGAAACGTAGCACTTTCTAATTGAATAATTAAACCTGACAAATTTTTTAAATTTGGATTGAATAAGCAGTTCGATAATGCTCAGTTTAGAAGAAGTCTATACTGCGTATAAAGTTTGATGAAAATAAGTAAAATTGCAAAAAATATCTCGAAAACGATTGCCTCCAGCGTTATTGAGGAGGTGTACCTTTTTTACTTGGAAAATGTGTGGGAATTAGATTTTTTCATGAAAAGTACCAAAAGTTTAGTGTCAAAAAAGTTAGGGCAATTTGAAATAAATAATGACAGCGTACGCAGCGCCCTCTAGATGTTACATGAAAATTAATACGAAATTATGATTTCCCACGTCAAAAAAACCCCGGGTACCAAATTTCGTGCAAATAACTTATTTTTTGCAAGAGTTATTTTCAAAAAACGAACAAAAAAATTTAATTTCTCCAAAACGAAGAATTTTCGGACAGAAGTTCATACAGACTTTTTTCTTCAAAATTGTCTCGGGAATACGTCATTTAAATACTTTAACGTACTTATGTTACACTGTGTATAGGCATTCAAATGTTTCTGAAACATATTCAGTGTGTCCAAGTATTGTGGTATTCGTTAGCGGTTAGGTTATGATCCTTTTTTTGTTTTCAATTGGGGTTCAACTTAATGTCAACAACCGCGTACTTGTGCAAGACGAAGTAAATTTCTTCACTCGGAATTTCAAATTTTTTTATATACTTTCAAAGTGGGGAGTCAAACGAAAGTGTTTCAAATTTGCTTACCAAATCACTCACCTCGCAATAGATTTTCAATTATTGAAACACACTTGCAGACCGGTTTCGGGCTGTTTGGCCACTCGTCAGTGCAAGGTAGTGTCTATCATCAACATAAAGTTGATGATTTCCGATAATTGAAAATCGAATTCGTTCAGAGTATCATTCCTCGAACAAGGCTGAAGCGGACAACAAACAACAGATTTGTCATCGCTCCATCTGCCTGTGAACGAGGTAACCAACTGCATATCCGAAATTTGCCCAATATGAGGAAGAAAACCTCACATATAGTCGGATATAATCCATCGCCCTTTGTGGTATTAGCCAGGGGAGTAGTTGTTTTCTGATAGGTGTCAGTCCGTCAACCTACAGCGTAGGGAGTTGAGACTGGCCTGAACGAATTGTTCCTTCAGATGATTTGATTTATAGCCAGTCTTCAAGTATCCCCACTGACTATATGTGAAAAAAAATCGTAGTAGTTCTTGTCTGGGACACTTGATCTCAAATGTTGCACTCCTGAAGAGAGATGATCCTGTCTGAAATTGGGTCATATAATAAATACAAAATTCTCGAATTCTTGTTTCATCTGAAGTGCATATATTTACGAACGAATTAAACAAGAACGAAAAATCTACTTCTCAAAAAAAACATACAAGAATCATAACTAAAAACGTGTTGCGGTTTTGTAAACTGTCCAGTGAAAATCTCACGATGAAGTCTAACTTGAATAAGTTACGGATTTTCATCAAGTCTGACCGGTTAATAACCCTGTAATTATTCTGAGCCGATACCTACTATATTGAAGTAGTTCTTCAGTTCTTTTCTCGGACGGTTCCCTAATGAAGGTTCCACTGTGTTTATTGCCAGGTACTTTTGTCCAGTACTCTGTGTCCTTCTTATTGGTCCATGTCCTAATCTGGTTTCGTATCAATGATTTTGGTACCCCCAGAGCTGGTTCAGGACCTATATATGAAGTTGATGATCCGCGTCTAGCACATTTATCAGCTTTATCATTACCTATGATTCCTGAATGCCTAGCACCCAGTACAAAGTTAATTTGTTCCTGTTTGCAAGTTCATTCAGTTCTTCATGTCATTTCCATACCAGTTTTGATGTCACCTTCGGGTTTGTCAGAGCCCCTACTGCGCTCTTGCTGTCTGTTAAAATATTGATCCGCTCATTTTTTTGAGATCTCAATTCAATAAGCCTTGCACACTACAAGGTAGCATATAATATATAATTACATAATTTATTCATTATGTTACACTGTCTGCAAAAATAGTCAATTTCTACTAGAATACTTACTCTGAACTTTTCATAAATGTTTTCGCCAACATTGGTTCTATTGTATCTCGACAAGTTTTGCAGAATGCCAATTGCTTTGTCGGTTTTACCCTGGGAAACAAGCCACCTGGAAAAAATAAAACGAGTATTTCATTGTGTTTCAGAGACTCTAGATTCGAAAAAAATACTTTTCAAATATTTCAATGGTCTAGTAATTGCTTAATCCACATTGATGAATAAGTAGATATAAATTATCCATAATATAAAATAAATTTAATGATCTTTTAGATGAATACATATTCCGTCTTTGAAATCACTTTAAGTACCACTTCAGTTGTTACACGTTGTCGTTCACAAGAATGATCAGCTGATAAGCGTCATAAAGAGAAAAACATGACAGGTCAATAAAAGTTTAGTACATGTAAGTATAGTTTAGTTCAAGTATATGACGTCGAAGTATATGGCTAGAACTTTGTCGTCTCCATACGAACGACATCTCTCAAAAATCGAAACTTGCGACCTTCAAATTAAAGTCTAACTTTTCATTTCGTGATTCCTAGCAATATGTTGCAAAACTCATCAAAAGTGGTAAAGATTTCAACCAACTATTATATATACTTCAAGTTATATTCATGTCTTGGTGACGAGAAGACAACTGCCGAAACATATGTCAAGAATCATTTTGCCCACTGAATTCTCATCAACAAAATATCATTTCAACTTTAATACAATATAATAGTTTTAATCGACCGTTGACGAGTTATGTTGGCCAGTGAAACATGCATCAAGAATACTCTTTCAGCAGTTCTAGTAAGTTTCGCAGAGTATTTTATACTTCACAGTAATCACAGTTCAAAGGGAGAAAGGACCTCGTCAGTCGTAAACTAACAAGTTTAAAGTGTTGAGGGATATCATTAGTATGGACATGGACGCTACAGTAAGCCATGAGAAATACCATTTCAAACCCAAACCAGTTACATTTAATCAAGTATTAGTTCCAAAACAATCTACGAACAAAATTTAAGTTTGAAATCCTAGCTGGTAATTACGAAAATTGTAGCTTATCAATGCATACAGTGTGTGAAAGCCAATTGGATTAAATTCATTACTTCAGTTACGGTACATATTTTAACAAAATCCCGAAACACGTCAAATTTTAATTATAATTTGACATACTTCAACGGAAAAATGCTACCCCTACCTTTAACTCCCGTTGAATGACAGGTACAACCCCCAATTTTTCAAATGAGAAGTATAGGACACACTCCTGACACACTCCTGAGGAAATAATTTCGAAAATCAGAAATGTCATTGAACAGTTCTCCCGATGGTGTTTGGCTAATCACCTATTGGTGAACATTTCAAAAACAAAAATAATGGAGTTCACAAAAAGACGAGTTGACACAATGGATGTGATGGAATTTGATGGTTACACTGTTAAATGTAGCCAACAAACTCTGTTTTTAGGAACTGTTTTAGATTCAAACATTCAATGGAATGAACAAATTAACACAGTCTGTGGCAAGCTCAATAAATCATTTTATGCTATCCAAGCCTTGAAAGACACTCTTGACAGACATTCACTTATGAGTGTTTACTTTGGCTTGGTGTATTCTACACTTAGCTACAATATTATCTCTTGGGGTCAAGCCAACGAATGGGTGCGTGCTTTCAGGCAACAAAAGAGAATAATAAGATTAATATTCGACTTAGATTTTGGTGAGTCTTGTAGAGGAACTTTTAAAAGAAATAAAATTCTGACTACCACTTGCATTTACCTATTTAAAATAATTATATTCGTACATAATAATAAAACAAAGCTTACATCGAATGCTCAAATACATCAGTATAGAACACGAAACAATCATCACTTATATCAATCAAAACTCAATCACACTTACTACAAAAAATCCCCAGAATGGGCGGGGGTTCACCTCTATAATTTATTGCCAAATCACCTAATGCAACTTTCACCAAAAAAGTTCAAGGTGGAATTGAAGAAATTTCTTTCGAATAGATGTTTTTATGATCTGAATGAGTATATGAACCATACATGAAAATTGATGAGTCTAATCTTTTAATATGATGTAACAATGTATTATGTTGTCTCTTGTGATATTTGCGTGATACAATTTTTATTTACTGTACAATATTTCTTATTCTATGTGACGAACCTATACGTTGTACAAATGGCACAAAAAGGTAATATATTATCTATCTATCTGTCTATCTATAGGCTTGTGATATATGGTTTGAAAGGTCTTTCCATTTTCTATTCAAAAGTGTTGTCGCTTTTGAATTTATTGCAAGATAAAATAAATTGAAATCTAGTGGTTATCGAAATTTGATAAAATACACTTAAAATTTAGGTATTGATAATAAGAAAGTAAGCAAAAACCATAACAATATTCTTTTTAGATGGTATCCTTTAAAAAACTGCAAATAATTTCCGTGGCAACGTTACTTTGAAAAGCCTTGTCAACTTGTTTTGTATGTTACAATAGTTGTCAGTATTTTGAATCAAAGTTGAAGTTCGTTAACTTCAAGTCTGACAAATGCTTAGATCAACGGAAATACATAAAATAACAGATTTACAAATGATTGGTTTCGGAGATAAAACCAAAACACAACAGGAAGTCGCTCACCTATTTCATGGGAAAGTTTTTAATTTACCGCCCATATCTCAGGGAACAATAAGCAAAATAGGGAATCAGTTTCGCGAGCTTGGTCATATGGGGCAGATACATCGAGTAGACAGGCATCCACCACATTCAATGTTAGCCATACATCGATAGAAAACATATTAAAAGAAAATGAAATGCATCCCTATAAAATGATACCTACTCAGGAGCTCATGGAAAACGATTTTGATAGAAGAACTTATTTTTGTGAGCAAATGATGGACATATTGGATATCATCTAATTAGAAGACGTAATGTTTTCTGATGAAGGTACTTTGTCTCTTAACGGTCTTGCTTATCGGCAAAATTGCCGTTACTGGTCAACGGAAAATCTTCACTGGATGAGAGAAGAACACACGCCATACCCTCAAAAGGTTAATGTTTGGACAGGGATTGTAGGAAACCATATCATTGGTTCTTTTTTCATTGAGGGCAATAATTATTTGCCACTACTTCAAAATGATGTCATTACAAGTTTAGCAAATTTATATCCTGATTCAGGAAACCCTTAAGTTCCAGTGAATACGATATAGTTTCAGCATTATGGAGCTTCACCATATTACCAAGTTAATGTCTGGCAATATCTCGATACAACATTTCCCAATTTATGGTTAGGGAGGTGAGAATCGATTGAATGACCAGCGCGATCACCTATTCTTGCATCATTAGATTTTTATGGGGATATGTAAAGAGCAATGTGTACAAAACTAAACCTTCAGATTTGAAAGACTTGAACGAACGAATAACGCTTACTATTCGGTCAGTCACGCCTGATATGTTGAATAATGTTAGAAGACAGTTTTATTTGAGATTAGGATGTGGCCAAGACTTTCGCGGTAAACATTTTGAACATCTACTTCGTTAACATCCATAGTTCTTTTTCGTATTCTACATTTCATTACGTTTTGCATTACATTTTAGAGCAGTGCTGCCGCATGGTCAATTCAAAAAGTACCGAAATTTATAGGAAAATAATACCCAAAATGTACTGCGCAAGACTAGGCATGGCACATGCGCATAAGTCATTTCAGACCAAATGCCAGTAATGCCAAACGTGTAATAATGTTATCCATTTAAATTCGGAAAATATATGGAGTAAAAAATTTGCTGGAAACTAAGAAATGTTCCTTAAGAGAAAGATCATAATCAGAACATTTGATAAAAAGGTGTCTTTTTCCTTCTTCAAATTGTACACTGTATATGTATTGCAGAAAGTATACTGGTTAAAAAGAATTCTCATTTTTAAAATATTCGACTCAGTGACTACGAAATCAGATTTCTGACGGTTGTAACATTTTACCCATCGTCAATAGAAGGTAATGAAAAGTACTCACTTAAAAATGACATTAACAGGCTTCATGGTGTTCAATCGATATTTTAGTTAATTTATAAATCTTACCTTGCAGATTCAGGGACCATCCATGGTGTTAAAAGACCAAACAGTAAAGGTGCAGATGTTACTAAACACAGAAGTTTCCAATCGGCTAGGTAATAAGCTATCCATGGCAAAACAGAAGCAGCAAAAGTGAAGAAGATCGCTATAGACATATTGGCCACAAATGTCCTCCATTTTGGTCCAACGTACTCTAGAACTGAAAAGCACCAACCATAAAATTCATTCATTTTTTCACTTTTACAGATCGTTCCAAAAACTACATACAAACAATATTTTGCCTTTTCCTTCAGTATGCCGAAAAACGCCCCAAGTAATCACTTTAAAATCTACCTCTTTTTTAAAGACAAAACACAAGCACTACAGGAATCCTTAATCCTTAAGGCGCTCTCAGAGCGGTGCCTGTGCGAAAGTACCGATTCGCATTGGATTTGAATTGCTGGAGATTAAATCCATTTGGCAAAACGTTCTCAGGAAGTTTATTCCACATAAACGCAGTTCCCCGAATGAAAAAGTTCGAGATGTACTGAGTTGAACCTCAAAACGATGAGCAGTCACAGTCCGTCGCGCATTTCTCAAATGTATAAATTCCCTATTAAAACTGATAACTCAAAGAAATCATTGAAGTTTGGTAGAATATACATCTCCAAAAATGTTAATAAATTTAAACACAATTGCGAGCAAACTGCATAGAAAGAGGTTTTGTCTTCAAGCGATTCTATAGGCGCCTTTCAAGGATTATTAACCAGACTTTTTGAAGTTGAAGAATGTTTTCCCAAACGGAAAATAAAGATTAAAAAAAATAAAAAATCTTAAGAGGAGTGTGTAATGACTGGTTCAGGTCTTACTTAAGTGATAGAAAACAGTAAGTAAGATCAAACGAAAAACTATCACACACTGAGGATATCTTATGGGGCGTTCCACATGGATCAGTACTGGGCCCGATTCTTTTCTTTATTTATGTAAATGACCTTGTTACTCTCTCAATTCAAGGAATTTTTACGAACTTTGAGGATGACATCACGCTCCTTTGGCATGGAAAAAATACTTCTAATATGAAAGAAACTATCTCTAGTGATTTCGAAGTTGTGAAAATATGGTGTGATACAAACTACTTGTGCTTTTATATTGAAAAAACAAACCTACTCACCTTCAGCTGTCATATTAACAATTTATACTTGAATAGACAAATTCTGGCGAATAAAAACCAATCCAAATTCCAGGGAATCTTCATGGATAACAAATTAAAATTTGATCAACATATTTCAGCTTTGAATAAAAAATTGGCATCAGGATGTTATGCACTTCGAATAGTTCCAAATGAACTGAGTTCATCCACAACAAAAATGGTATATCATTNGAACACTTCCCGTGAAAGTATCTATAGAAGAAAGACAAATCCGCAACCTTTCTTCGCTGTTCCAGACTACCGATGTTGCAAGTGATGTTCGCGTCTCCAATCAGGCGGATGGCTCTTTTCTGGATGGAATCCAGAAGCTTCGCGGGGTATGCTTGAGGGCGAGCTCTATACATGAGAACAATATTCCAAAGAAGGTCTGATCTGAGTTTTATAAAGCATCAAAAATTGCTGAGGTGTGTACAGTTTTCTGGTTCGAAACAGTGTTTCAAGCTTTTGAGAAGCAGCCTTTGCAATTCCAACGGAGAAAACCAATGCCTGGGTTTATGTGATATTGAATTGAACCTGGTTACTTCCACCCCAATTCGAAATCACTTCTAAATTATCGTTAAGATATGCAACCTTCTGCTGCCGGTAGCCGATATCCTGGAATCCAAATGGAACGACGAGACAATTGTACTGTCATCAGCAAAGCAATATATTGGATTCTTGTTTTTTTTCATGCCTCACACGGTCAAAGATCCTAAAAATCTCAAGTGAAACAGCTCTTGATTCTCCATGTTTCTCGATTGCGTTATTCCAAATATGGATAACATACGATAGACGGTCGCCTGTTGATCTTTGTTTCCGAAAAGCCATATTGATGATCGCTCAAAATGTTGAAGCCTTCCAAATATTTGAGGACATGGTAGTTCACGACTTTCTTCATGATTTTTGATATCACTGATAGCAAAGCGACTGGTCTATAGTTATTTGGAAGATTTTCCTTGCCCTTTTTGGGAATGCGAGCAACTTTCCAACAAGAAGGAAAAACTCCTTCCTTGTAAGACATGTTGAAAAATCTGCAAGTAACGCACAGATTATTCATTAGCTACATGGGAAATATTGAAAAATTCAATTTTTTTCGAATAATAATTCAATATATAGGGTGACCGACCATTATCAATTTTGGTTTGGAAATAATTTGTCTTTTATCTACAGGGTGTAACATAAGTACGATAAAATATTCAAGTAACGTATTCCTGAAACAATTTTAAGAAAAAAGTCTATATGAACTTGTATCCG